GTCGGCCATGTTGGCTGCGTGCAAGGCAGACGCCCTACCCGCTGTGCTATCGCTCCAGCCCGTACTCTACTAGATTAAGTTAAATGTTAAATACATTTAAATATTAAATAGATTAAATGCTAAATACATTCAGCAATTAGTAATTACAAATTTATTTTTATTGATTTATTTTATAATCATTCTGTTTGCCAGTTTTTAAGGTTTTTGGATCAAGTACTATGAAATAAGTGTTATATACTGCCATGAAGACAAAAATAAACCTTATATATAATGATAGGAAAGATCTGATGATTACCACTGTCACTGTCACTGTCCTCCCGTTGTTCATTGATTTTCTTGAGCGGGCCCAGTAACATCTCCATTGTGACACTTGTTACTGTGTTTGGAATATCCAATACATTACGGGGAGCTTGCCAGGCTTTGTCGTGCAGGCAAGATACTCTCGGTATGCTGGGCGGAGGAATCGAACCCAGGTTGGCAGGGTCGATTGCATGCAAGGCAAACGCCCTACCCACTGTGCTATCGCTCCAGCCTCGATGATTATCACAATAAGGTTCAATACAAAATAAAACATAATGTGATCTGTTTTAGATGCCATTTGAAAAATTAGTTGTGTAAAAGAGAATAGGTACCACATAATTTGAATTGTCTTACTTGTGTAGGTTAAAATCATACAGCAATTAATCATTACAAATTGACTTGTTGATTTTTCTTCTGATAATTTCATTTGCCGTTTCCTTAAGTTTTGTTGGACCAATAGCAAATAAGCTTGTTATATGCCTACCAAGGGGGCAAGCTGCAGGATGACAGGGACCCTGGGGACTCTGGACGTGGGATTGGTGTTGCAATGTTGTATGACTGAAACAATTCTATTAGGAACAGATTTGTAAATCACGATCTCTCTTAAGTAAATAAAATATCTAAAACGAATAGCGACTTCAGAATAGTAAAGTGTCTTATGGAAATTGAGCCTTGGGCTTGGTTTGGAGGATTGCATGAAAGAATATTACTGTAGCACTGTCCTCCCATCGTTCATCGATTTGCTTGAGAGGGCATCAGTAATGTCTCACACCAAATTGTGAAACTTGACTATTTTTGGCATACTGAATACATCACAGGTAGCTTGCCAGGCTTTGCTGTGCGGGCAAGATACTCTCGGTAGCTTGCTGGGCTCTCCGAGAGGGGCTGAGGAATTGAACACAGGACAGCTGCGTGCAAGGCAGATGCCCTACCCGCTGTGCTATTGCTCCAGCCCAGTTAAAGACTGTCACTGTCACTGTCACTGTCCTCCCATTGTTCATTGATTTACTTGAGTGGCCCAGCAACGTCTCCATTGTGAAACTTGTTTTTACTGTGTTTGGCATATCGAATAGGTCACAGGTAGCTTGTCAGGTAAGGCATTCCTATTTGGGGTAGATTTTTATACATGGTCATTTGGAAGCCAACCTGAAAAGGCCTACCCAATTTCTCTGCCATGTTCACCCCACAAAATTTATGCAGTGCCCTCTTCTTCTCATTACTTTCTGCCACAGATATGTATACATTATTTACCCTAGGCTAAGCCTAGGAGAGATATATTTTTATTTGATGGAGCTGGGTCACAATTCCATACAAAATTGCAAGATAAGTTGCTAATTATGGCTAAGCTACTTGTCCTAAAAAAGATGTATGCTGTTGGTGAAATAAGTACCCTTTTTCCCTAAGTGGGATATAAACAAACCACAAAACATACTTCAACTTGTTATTTTTTTTTCTTAAGCAGGTTTTCTCCTCTCTATAACCCCCTCCCTAGTTTTAGTTTTACCATATTTGGAAGAACATTTCAAATTCATGTTCATTAACAAGAGGATTTAATCTGTTTACATTTCTTTCTGAAATATGCAAAATTGCAGTGATTAATATATATTCCTCTTTAAATCCTGTGTCTCTCTAGTCCTATTACAGATATTGTGAAATAGAATCTCCAGAACTATCTACTGAATTCAAAATACAGATAAACTACCATATGAATATAGAAAAGCTGTGTTTTAATCTTCTTCAAAAATTTTTCTGATGACAGTATCATTGCCGATACTTTAAAATCAACTTCACAATAGAATCAATATTAATTCACAACTCTCTCTTGTCTTTGGTCTTGTAATTTTGACATCAAAATCCATTGTTCTTTCAAAACAGTGATTTAAAACCCAATAATACAATCATCTGTGGAGGTTTTATAATGTATGAGTGTTCCCATCTTTCCTCGGGAATCTGATTTAATTAGTCTCAAATGAGGCCTAAATATTAACTTTTTTCACAATTAACAGCATTGTAAACATCAATTTAAACAAATATCTGGTTTTCTGTATTTGGAAGCGATTTTAGAAAGTTTTAATGTATATTTATATAAACATATATTTATATTAAACTAGCATCTATCTGCTGAGTGATTTGGATCTAAACTGTTAACTTGTAGTAAATCTAAATCTAGTAAGTGTTCATTAATCTTAAATACATGATGAACAGGATGTAACAAAGACTTCAAATACAGTATCATTTGTCAATTTGTAGAATGAAACTATTTTTAGTATATTTGTGGTGTAAACAAGCAGGAGTTCTTTAAAATTATTTAACATTTACTTCCTTATCTTTATACTCTTAGATTTCTGCGAATCCCCACAAAAAATGCAACTGAACTGGGCTCTAGTTTTGCTCTTTAGATCAAAAACATCTCCAAAGCATAAACCATCTTCAACCCAAATTGAGGACTGGAGAAAAAAAAGCCATTATTTCAAACTCACAGTTAAAAAGTTCCCAAAGGCAAAATAATTTTAAAGTCAACAACCAAAATGTTCCCCCAGTGGCAGCATCATATATTTTGTTTTCACAGTTCATTTACTTTTCCCACTATATGTCCCATTGCCCTGTTTTCTGATGATGTTTGTTCCTTGGTGAGAGCCGAGAAGGTGAACACACATTTTTGCACAATGGGCTGTAATTCCTTATTACAAAAGTATTGTTTTTGATTATCCTACTGGCATAATTTTGCACGTTGATTGTCATTCCTATTTCTTATTTCATGAGCATTTTGCTAACTACAATGAAAGAGAATATGGCCTTGATATTTTGTTTTCTCAGTTTAGCCGTTATTTTGTGACTAAAGATGGGAAGAGTTCATGTAATTCATTTTTTTAAGATTGTAGTTTGTGAATGATAATATATCAACATATTTTATTCTTACAAAACTTCAGCATAGTATGAGAATGTTCACACATTTGAATCTTTCTCTTAACCTTCCTCTAGAGCTTTTCCAGGGTAGCTTCATCCCAAGAGCAGTTACAGAAGACATTGTGATTCAGGATTATGGTCCTAATTATGTTCTTTACTGAAGCAAACTCATTTCTAGGAGCTAAGGTCATTGCATTTATATGTAAAGGTGACCTTCAGAATACTGGGTTGATTTGTTTGAAGAACATTTACTTCTTTATTTCAATGAACAACTCTGCAGTTTTGACTGGGGAAGTCAAATTTCAATATGCTGGACACAGTCTGTGACAACATTTCTTAGATATTGATAGAACAGTAATGCACACTATCAATATGCCAACCACAGTAACAACAAGTCTCACAATGGAGACGTTACTGAGCCGCTTGAGCAAATCAGTGAACAACTTGAGGACAGTGCTACAGTGCATTGAAAAAAATGTGTAAACTTACTTTCTGAGCAACTTAGTCTTTTCTTTCTTCTTTGTATTAACTTTACTGCCAGGTTTTAGCTTTTTATTTTCTTTAATCTCAACAACTGGGACATTAAGTGCACTTTGTTATGAGAGGTAAGTAGCATACTGCATCTGCAGATCGAATGCTAAACTAGGGCGTTGGTGCGGGGAAATGTGTACTGATGGAGGGATGGGGTTTGAATACTGTCTAACTGAAACCCAATTATGAACAGCTTTGTAATGGGCTATCTCACAGTGATTCAATAATTTTTTTTAATTTAAAATAAAGAATACGGTTGCCAAAACAACAACGATGACAAAGAAGAAATGAAAAAGTTTAGGTGTTCAGGGTAGGTAGGTGCGGAAAATGCTTTTAGTGTTTCTGTTGCCCAGTAACTTTATGTAAGAAAATTTGTCATTGGGGGTAAAGCGTCCACACCAGTACCAAGGATATATTGAGTACATTTTTGCAAAATTTCATATTACTATATTTTACATTTCTACAATTTGGACCTCACTACAAAAAGGCATCCACGATTTCCCATGGCCCTTTACTTTTCGACTAACACCTCTTGGGTATTAACGCACATTGAAGCCCTGATAACGCTTACTTGCTTTCCTGAGGCTCAAAGTATTCCATAGGATTGTTCTGAACAAGTTCCACATGGAAAGGACCAGTCTTAGGTACTTTTCGGAAAGTTGTCCCCAAATCGCCAGCAATTTCGCCCAGGAGTTTTTCAATCCCTTCAACCCACCCTCGTAGGATGTTTCCAACCCCTTCCTTGCAAAGAAACACCGAAACTACAAATCCCATAAATCATTGACGGCCACAGTCTCCCCCCCCCCTCCCCCCCCCCCCCCCCCCCCCCCAGCCCTCCACGCTCTACCCTTGAGCGCGGTCAGCTCAAGCTCAGGTTGAGGCCTCTCGAAATATGCCTGAAAGAATTCGGAGCCGTTCACTAGCCGGCGGGGAGCTGCGCGTTCGCTGGGCTCCTTTAAATCGGTGCAGAGGGCGAGGACCGAGCGGGGCGACGCAGAGTGGGCCGGGCGGCGACACGGGCATCACCTGTTCGGAGCTGGGCATGCGCGCTGGGAGGGCGCGGGCCCGGAGGCGGGGCGCTGTGGGCGGGGCGGACGGCGCCCGGCTGGCACCGCTCAGATCTGCTTCTCCCCGGCTCGGGGCGTGGAGGCGGCGGCGGCGGCGGCGGCTGGGAGTCGTCTTCGGCGAAGGTTGCCCAGCGTTGTCCAACATGGAGGAGGCACCGGCCGCGGGCGTCACCTGCGAGCGGGACTGAACCCCCATCCCCCCTGCCGCCGGGTCCCGAGCCCTGGGACTTGGCCACCTGCACGCCTCGCGGCGGACCCCCGGCTCTGCTTCCCCGCTCTCGGGCCGCGGGGGCTTCAGCACCGGGACGCGGTGCCGGGAGGGAGCCCGGCGGCGCCCAGACTCCCCGAAGCATGGGCAATGAGGCGAGCTTGGAAGGCGAGGGGCTCCCTGAAGGACTGGCGGCCGCGGCAGCCGCCGCGGCCGGAGGAGGGGCCGGCGGGGCGGGAAGCTCCGTGCACACCGCGATCCCGGCCGGCATGGAGGCGGATCTGAGCCAGCTGAGCGAAGAGGAGCGGAGACAGATCGCGGCTGTCATGTCAAGGGCGCAGGGGCTGCCCAAGGGAAGCGCTCCCTCGGCCACTGCGGAGCCGCCCTCCTTGCACAGGCACGCACAGCATGATGCATATGTCAGGGCATATATGTACGGCTTCGCCTTGCACATCCGCGCCTGTCCGTATGTGCGAGTACGGCAGTACATATATGTCCCCTTCCGTGCATTTTATTTTCCCCTAGGTTGGAGAGCAAGAGAGCCTAAAGCCTTCTGCTGGGCAGGATGGAAAAAAAAATGATGCATGGTAGAGTTTCTGGTGGGATAGTCAAGGGTTGCTTTCCTGAAACTGTGATTTTTTTTTTTTAGGTTGTGATTATTTTTTTTCCTGGCCTTTCACACCTTTTCCCCTCCCCGCCCCCAATGGCGTGGAGAGACGCCCGCCCACCAGTGTTTTACTAATCTGGAAGTCTTCCATTAATGTAAAACGGACGTGTTGGAAATGGTTAGAGCTGGATGTTTACCTGCCTCTGTTTAAATGTCCTCGGGCATTTTCAGCATCTGTTTCTCTGTGGTGGATGTCTTAAATATTTCTGTAACAAAATACATTTAATTCCTCTGGAGGTGATTTGTCTTTCCTTCCCACCTCACACCCAGAGAACAGAAGCTGTTTAGGTAGAAAGTACCTAATGGATACACCGTTTATATTCATTGAGGGACTCCGAAATATATTGTGGCATTAAACAGATGGTTTGGTCACTGCAAAGCAGGTGCTGTACGTGCATAACTGAATTAGCATGTGTTATTTTTGAAAACGACTGCTCTTTTGGAGGCGAAAGTGGCTTATAGTCTTTGGAAAAACATGGAAATTTGCATTATTTTAAAAGTAGTTCCCGAAATACTTTAAAAGACCAAGTAAATGACAACTAGCATAGGAAATGGAGCTAACCCGTAACATTAATGCATTCATTTTCCTTCCTAGCTCTCCGTTTTTCTTTATCCTAATAAATTAGTTGTTTTCTAATTAGAGTACTGAGAGGTTATAATCAATGTGCCTGCCCCGACTATGATTGTAAACAAGCCCTTTAACTTTTCACCCTCCAGTAGAGATCAGATCTCTGTCCATGGTGCTGAACGCGATCCATTCTTGCTTTATGATTAAAGGAAAACCTCCAATTTTCATTTTAAATGCTGGGAGTAGTAAAGTCCCAAACATATAGGTGTAAATTATTAATATACTTAAACTTCACTCGAGAGTAATCAAATAGATGTGTATAATTTTGAGCAATATTTATATTAATTTTCATAAAGAACTATACTGTTTTATGGATAGTTGTAATATTTTCACGTGAACCCTTAAGTGCCTAAAATATTCCAGGTATAACTATATTTCCTTAAAATGAAACATCCAATGGTAGTTAAAAATTAACTTATTTATATTGAATGTCTTCCTGTATTTTCAAACTAGTGCAGTTATCAAGCTATTTTTTGATATAAAGACTTTGTTATTCATTACCTTAAGAAGTACAGCTTTATAAGATATCTTTTCTCTACTAATGACATTTCGACTTAGAAAAATGTTTAATGATCATAAATTATGTTTCATAAGATAATGAGGTGCAGTAATTTTTTAACCATTTAGAAAACAATATGAATGTTAGTTCTTCCACAAATTTTTCTGAGAGGCAGAAGCAACAGGTTTAGCATGTTGGTTAAAAATAACAAGAACAGTAGGAGCTCTGATTTTTTAAAATTAATTTTTTTCAGAAGTCTGAAAAATAGCACATCTTATAAAATTACAGTGTTTTTATGAAGTATTTATAATGGGCTTTCAAGCCTCTATATTGGTGGAATTCTTATTCATTGGCAATATGTGGCCTAAAATGATTATTGATGAAATCCACTGTATGTGCAATACATTTCTGATTTTGCTTTTTTTATTATACTATCCTTATGAAAAATACATACTTTTGAAAGTTATTATTTCATTATCATCAAGTGAGAATCTAAGAAGCACTTGTTCTATCATGGCTTTTCGAAACATAGTAATTAATCTAAGTACGTATGGGAAAGTATATACATATTATTTTAAATTTCAAGAGATTTGATAATGTAAACTAGACATCTGGGGTTTGATTTTCCTTAAAGAAATATAGAGGTTGAGAGTAAGAGAACAAGAGCAGTGCTCAGGGGTCAGGGGATGCACTTGGACTGAAAGCTCTCTTGCTGTGTAGGCCTTAGGATGGTCAGTGCTCAGTCAGCCTATGTGGTACTGCCCAAGCAATACTTAGGGCTACCTCACAGTGGAAGGATATTCAGATTGTTAACCTTGTTAAATTTAACTTATTCATGCTAAGTCATGTGTACCTCTCAGACATATGTGCTTCAGTTTTTTTGTTTCCAGATGAGGCAAGTGTATTTGCCTTCCCTCTCTGATAGACGGTTTGAGGATCAATTAGATGAGTTGACAGGGACATTTTTGTTTGATATTTAAAAAATTTGATGGGCCTTTTTTTTATAGATAATAACATCAATACAAGCAGTGAGCAGAACTACAGAAAAGTTTTATGTTTAATTGTTGTGAATTATTCATTAATTCTTGAGTCTGTGTTGTTTTTCATTTGGAGAATTTGGTGCAATTTAGTGGCAGTCCAATCCCCCACATCTCTGCCAGGAATCAGGGATTCAGATTTCTGTGATTAGTTTTATATATTATATTGAATTAATTTCTTGATGCCTTAAATTCTAGTCTGCTCTACAGTGTAAAAATAAATAGCTCTTCCCAAAGTTGCTTGTATTTCTAATACTATAAAATTTTAAGTGACTCAGCATAGTAAAATGTCATTGCCTGCTATGTTTCATTTGATTATTTAGCATTGTAACTGCTTGTACAGTTTTACACTTTAGTACCTCTTTATCCCATTGGTAGATGAAACGATTTTCTACTAACATATGAAGGGAAAATTCTAATTTGTGCACGATGATATAAATGAAATTAAAAGGAAGATCATATATAAAAATAGGTAGTTAACAGAGTAGAAATAGAAGATAGGTTACAAAGGAAACACTTTGGGGTTTTGGTTCATAGTAGACTCTGAGAGATGCAATATTTTTACTCGTTCTATTTATAGCTACATTATGAAAGTTTTACTGAAAAATGTTTTAATAGAATAAGTATATACAACTTTTGAATTGAATAAGGATATAAGAATTTTGATGGATGATTTCCCTAAGCACTCATTTTGGTCACTCCAATTGAATTGGCATCCCCTTGACTTTTATCATCCTAGAGAGATCAGACCAAGCCCAGGTTTAAAATGAATATGGGATGTTTCCATGTATTCCTTATAAGGTCTGTAGTACTCATAGTTTGAAGTGGGAAGAGTTCAAGAAACTTTAATCTAGAACAGAGTTAGGGACCATAGAAACCTCGTATGCCCCATGAAATTGTCATATGACCCTTGTACATGAGAAGACAGACATGGGTTACTCATTAGCTACAAGTCCGCCAGTTTCATATGGCCTTTAAATGATGTTAATGATGTAATATCCAAATGACTCTTGGCAGAAAAAGGTTCCCCACTCCTGAAATTCCTGCTATGCATTCATTTATTCCCTTATTGTTATCCATTCATTCATTTACTTTCCAAACATTATTTCTTATTTGTTTGTTTGCAGGCTCTGTTCAAGTAATATAAAAATGAGTGAAACACATTATTTTACTGGGAGTTCACAGTCTAGTATCAAGACACATTATATTTCAGTCATTTTACTTTTTAATTAAAACACTATTATACCAAATAGAAAATCACTGAAGGCCACAGTCATGAGTGGATCTTCCTATTTTTGTCTGTATCTTCTCTTAATGATGTCTTTTAATAGCAATTCAAACTAGTATGAACCACAGAGCAGTCATTATACTTAATAAAGTATAGCTACTAAAGTTATAGATATATACATATATATGTATGCATATATATTGTTTTGTGTGCTATATCTAGTGATGCTCAGGAGTGACTCCCAGATTAGTGCTAGGGATCTTACCCAGTAGTGTTTGAGAGACCATATGGTGCTGGGGATCAAACTCAGGTCTCTCACATGCAAGGCATTCTACACAGTTCTTTGAGCTATCTCTCTAGCCTTGTTTATTTTATTGCTGGGATTTTATAATGTAGTACAATTTATACCTAAGGAAGTATGTGCAATTATAACATATTATAAGTAGTTTACTGTGAGTTTTGGTATTTATTGTTATCACAATTACTTGGTTCTTGTGAAATTTATTTTTTTATTTGTACATATGTGGGATTTGGTGAATAATATTCCAAGAACATGAAGCTAATATTTCCCAGAGGAAATTTTAATAAAAATAATATAAATTTCTCATTTTATATAGATTTTTAGTACAAGGGAACCAATTTACCAAAATGACTAAATTATTGCTTTTCGGATAGTAAATTCTGTGACATACTCCGTAAGTGTGCATCCTTAAAAGGAGTAGTAAATTTTTAATTGAATAAGGAGTGTTTCTAGAATTGGAAATATATTATTTTAAATTTTATTTTCTAAACAGGGAATCATTGAAAATAATGTATTTTAGATTTGTTATTTTGACTTTTGCTTTCATATTGGAGGAGGCATCTAGTACTGTAAAGTAGAATTCTGTATTTTTTTAAATGGAAATATATAGCAATGCATCTTTTTAAGGTGTCTAAAAACTTTTAATATATTACCATAATACTCCTAGTTACCTGTTTAAGCAAAGATATCAGAGACATGTCAAACTAAAAGTTTTTTTTATAATTTTCTTCGAGAGAAAATGATCTACCAAAGAATTCTATTTTCTTATTAGAAAATCACTTGCTTTCTGGATTCATTGGAATTTATATATTTTTTCTAAGACATAAATTCAGATATTATTCTTTTCTATATGCCTTTATCTTAATCGCAATTTAAGATTTCTGTCATTAGTAGCACTGTCCTCCCATTGTTTATTAATTTGCTTGAGTGGGTACTAATAACATCTCACAACAAATTGTGAGACTTATTGTTACTGTTTTTGGCATATCAAATATGTCACAAATAGCTTTCCAGGCTTTGCCTGTGGGCGAGGTACTCTCAGTAGCTTGCTGGGCTCTCTGAGAGGGGCGGAAGAATCGAACCCGGGTCAGCTGCGTGCAAGGTAAACTTCCTACCTGCTGTGCTACCGTGCTAGCCCCTCTGTCATTAGTCACTGTCATTGTCCTCCTGTTGTTCATCAATTTGCTCGAGCGAGCCCAGTAACATCTCCATCGTGAGACTTATTGTTACTGTGTTTGGCAGGTGAGATACTCTCGGTAGCTTGCCGGGCTCTCCGAGAGGGGTGGAGGAATCGAACTCGGGTCTGCCATGTTGGCCGCTTGCAAGGCGAACGCCCTACCGCTGTGCTATCGCTCAGCCATTGTCCATTACCAGTTACATTTTGACCAATGAAATTAAGACCTGTAAACTCTATTGTAACTATTTAGTATTTAATCACTGATTCTTTTTTCCTTTTAATGTATTTTCCAAAGTTGAAGAGATATGTGTATATCAAACAAAATACTTAAAATTTGATTTCCTTCATAAATGTAGTTATGACTTTTACCAGCAAAGAGTGGTTCATTAAAAGCTTAATGTGGTGCCTGAGAAAGAGTATAGCAGGTAAGGCACTTGCCTTGCATGTGACTGAACCTGGTTTGATTCCCAGTACATATGACTCCTTGAGCACTTTGAGGTGTGATTCCTAAACACAAATCCAGGAATAAACCTTGCACATCCTAGGCTGTGGCTCTAAAGTCCAGTCTGTATGCTCCCCCTCCAAAACTAGTGTACTTGATTTTTGACTAAAAGCTTATATGAGAAGGAACTGTTTAAAATCTTAAGTCATAACACTTTACAATTGATCATATCTTCAGAACTTTACTTTAAAAGTCTGCCTTGTGTATTAGTCTGTAAATTAAAATAATTTCTAAAAATTATTATTAAAATTTTAAGTCAGTTGGAGAGATAGTATAAGGGGCAGAGTGCTGTAAAGTTATACATATAAATATATGGCTTTTTTCCCCCAAAACAAATATATCTCTCATACATTTTAAAGGAGGAAAATTATTTAGTTTTATAAATAAATATTAATTAAATATAACTAAGTATAGTTAGTTAGATTTTAAATATGTAAGATTCTTTTTAAACTGAAATGTAAGTTGTTTTTATTATAGGCACTTCCTAGATATATTAATTTTTCTTTTTCTTTTATTTTAAACCACACCCAATGGTTCTCTGGGCTTACCCCTAGCTCTGCACTCAGGGATCATTCCTGGTAGGACAGGGTATCATATGTAGTGCCTGTGTCATATCTGGTTTTGCCACACATAGGGCAAGCTCCATACCCTGAACTATCACACTCGCTTGATATCTTAATTTTTCATTTTATGTAGTAACCGGTATATTTTTCTTTACCCTGTGGAAAATCTCTAGTCCTGTGAAAAAGGTAACAAAGATATTAAAATTTTATGGCTTCTTACAGCATATTGCAAAGGTAGATTCTAGTTATATTTTGACATTCATTCATGATTGTGAGACTATCAGAAATGAATTATTTTTTAAATGTTGTCTGGAATTGATTTTTATTATTTTGTATCATCTTCCTTCTCCCTTCCAGGAAACAAGAGTTGGATAGCAGTCATTCTCCTAAGCAACCTGGAAAACCACCTGATTCGGGTCGTGCAGCTCAGCCTGGTCTAAGTAAGAGCAGAACTACAGACACTTTTCGGTCAGAGCAGAAGTTGCCTGGAAGGAGTCCTTCCACTATTAGCTTAAAGGAATCCAAGTCCAGAACTGATTTTAAGGAAGAGCACAAGTCTAGTATGATGCCTAGCTTCCTTTCTGAGGTTAACCCTTTAAGTGCTGTCTCCTCTGTTGTAAATAAATTCAATCCTTTTGATTTGATATCAGACTCTGATGCCTCCCAGGAAGAAACGACCAAGAAACAAAAAGCAGCCCCGAAAGAACAAGGAAAACCTGAAGGAATCGCCAAGCCTACATCGCAGCAATCGCCCAAGCCAGCTCCTAAGCAGCAAGGACCTGTGAAAGCCCCCCTTCAGCAGGGTGTCTCCCAAAAATCGGTACCTTCTCAGCAACCAGAAAAAATGAAATCACAGCCTTCAGGAAAGCCCATTCAGGGGCTTACCCAAGCTCCTCAGACTGACCCGGTCAAGTTGCCTCTTCAAAGAGATGCAGCCAGGCCTCAGACTAAACAATCAGATGCAGTGACAGGGGAATCAGGTAAGCCCTCACTGCAGAGCCCATCTAAACCACCTGTTCAGCAGGCAAGTCCTGGCAAACCTCCAGCTAAGCAGCCTGGACCAGAAAAAGTTGCATTGCCGCAGCCTGGCCCTGCAAAATCCCCAGCACAGCAACCAGGGCCAGCAAAACCCCCAGCCCAACCACCAGGAACTGCAAAACCCTCACCTCAGCCCCTCACAGCAAAGCTCCCAGCCCAGCCTCCAGGGACAGTGAAACCTGCAGCTCAGCAGCCCGGACCAAAGTCTCCAGCTCAGCCTCTTGGACCTGCAAAGCCTCAAGTTCAGCCGACTGTGACGGAGAAGCCTCCATCGCAGCAGCCTGGCCCCAAGCCTCCAGCACAACCTCCAGTACCTGCAAAGTCTCCAGTTAAGCAGCCAGGACCAGCAAAGCTCCCAGGCCAGCAACCAGGAACTCCAAAGTCTCCAGCTCATCAACCCGCTGCAGCATCTCAGCCCTCTGGGCCTGCAAAGACACCTACTCAGCAGCCTGGTCCAGGGAAGATTTCTCAGCAACCTGGCCCAACAAAATCTCAACAGCCTGGCCCAGCAAAGCCAGCAACTCAACAACCTGGCCCACCAAAGCTGGCAACTCAGCAGCCTGGCCTAGCAAAGCCCACAGCTCAACAGCCTGGCCCAGCAAAGCCCACAGCTCAACAGCCTGACCCATCAAAGCCTGCAGCTCAACAGCCAGGCCCAGCAAAGCCCTCACTTTTGCCTCAACAACCTGGCCCAGTGAAGCCATCAGCTCAGCAGCCTGGCCCAGCAAAGCCCTCACCTCAACAGCCTGGCGCAGCAAAGACTTCAGCTCAACAACCTGGTCCAGCAAAGCCTTCAGTTCAACAGCCTGGTCTAGCAAAGCCCTCACCCCAACAGCCTGGCCCAGCAAAGCCTTTAGCTCAGCAACCTACAAAACCAGTCAGCCAAGCTGGAGTTGGGAAACCTGTGCAGCCACCAATTTCTCCATCTGCTGGACAGACTTCAGTACAAGGCCTCCCGAAAACCATCTGTCCTCTTTGCAATACCACTGAGCTTCTCCTGCATGTTCCAGAAAAGGCCAATTTTAACTCATGCACTGAGTGTCAAACCACTGTCTGTAGCCTCTGTGGTTTTAATCCTAACCCTCATCTAACTGAGGTGAGTGTATTTGTTCATTCTGTCCATACTCTAACTCCATATCATCTTCCACAGATGGTGCTTAGTTTACTGTTAATTGATACAGTGGCACTGCATTTTTTTTATGATTCTTTCTTTATTTCTCTCCTCTCTTTCCCCTTCTATTTCAGTTACAACTTATAATAAAACACACACACACACACACACACACGCACACACACCTCTTCTCCAATAATAAGTTGAAATCTCTGCATTTTCTGATAAAATAACCATATTAAACAGGGACTCCCAAACTTTTTGTTACACTACCCTCTTTTCAGAAACATAATTAACCACATGTGTATCTCCATACATTATAGAGGTTATGGTGCTTACTTTACAGGTTCAGTCCCTGGCACTACATAAAGTGCTCCAAACACTGCCAAGAATGATGCCTAAATACAGAGCCAGGAGTAATCCTTGTGTAACACTGGGAGTCCCCACCTCCCCCCAAAGTCCTTTTCACCCAATAACTCAGTTACACTACCCATTCTGTCTATATTAAGGGAACTACCAGATGATACTCCACTTCCTTCTGAGGCTCCAGAGTTTCCAGGGTACTAGTTCACTTTGGACAGTACAGCTGTAAAGCAAATAAGAATTAATTTAAAAAATGCCAAGCATCTGCTTGTGTTACTCTCTGTTTAAGGTTCATATTATTATTTAATATACAGTGATATTAGTTACACTATAAGTTCAAGTTTCTGCCTACTGAAGTTCAAGTTCCTACCTAATCTCAACTGGGAAGCAATATGTTAGGAAAACATTGGGTAAATTTCAATATAAAGTGGAATATACATTTCATACTTTTGTGTTCTCTTTCCATACAAGTCATTATGATATACCTGAGCATGTGTTGCCCCATTGGAATGGATTATCTATCATAGCATAGTGGAAGTCAGTGTTTGAAATGAGGAAGTCATTAGAGCAGATCTAGGTTGATGGGCATCTTCTCAAGAGGAGAATAGGTTAGATCACCAAGACTTTGAGTAAGGATGCCTGACAAACTTTAAATTTTTTTCCATTTGGGGGCACACCCAGTGATGCTCAGAGGTTACTCATGGCTCTGCACTCAGGAATTACTCCTGGAGGTGCACTGGGGACCATATGGAATGCCAGGGAGAGAACCTTGGATTAGCTACATGTAAGGCAAACATCCTACGTGCTGTATCTCTCTGTTCTCCTGACACACCATTTACGAAGAAGCCAGTAACATACTCATTCAAAACAAATAAATTCTTTGTTTTTTACTTTGATTTTGGACAGAGAAGTAATTCTTAGGAAATCTGTTAATGTTAACTCAGAACTTAAAGGCCCTACCATTTTAAGAGGTAGTGATTTGTTGAGGGAAAAGTATGAAAAGGCAGAAACTATTAGAAAAGCCCAGAACATTTCTAGAGCTAGGAAATAATACTATAAAGATGGGACAATCATATAAATAAAATAAGAATTAAAAGGTGAAGGGTATAATAGAATGTGTATTTAAAGAATGTTTTGATAGCCTTCACCAGATAAGAAGATACAGAAATAAATCAATTTGTCTAGAGGAGAGCTATTAGTGGACTGTCTCTACATTATGTTTATGGACAGCCAAGAAGGAAATCACATCAGGTAGTAAAGGATTATAGGTTTAAATATCCTGAAAGTGTGGACACTTTTGTACTTTTGGGGATTTTTTTATGAATGATAAATATGGGTGTTGTGAAAAAAATCTTAAAATTCTATTTAAGGTAAATGCGTTTATGGTTTATTATGTTTATGTTTGGTCTGTACATTTATTTTTTATATGTAAATACTTATGGTCACATAGAAATATCTTAGGTGAAACAGAATTGTAAACAGAAAATATAAAGAAGAATTGATTTGGACCAGAGTAAGTAGTACAACCAGTAGGGTGCTTGCTTTGCATACTGTCCACTGGGTTCAGTTCCAGGCAGCGCATATGGTCCCTTGAGGCTGCCAGGAGTCACTGCTGAGCTGTCAGAGCCAGGAGAAAGCCCTGAGCATAGCCAGGTATGGGATCCCTTCCCCACAAAAAGTGCTGATCTGTTGTTTCTTTAACAATGCAATACTTGAAAAAAATGAAAATAATAACATTTTCTCTGCCAAAAACACTAGATTAATACAATTAACTGAACTTATTTTAAATATATCAAGTCTTTTTGAAATTTCAGTATAGTGCTACATGGCTATTTAGAATTTTGAACACATTTGACTTTTAAAATTAATCTTAACTTGTTTTCTCCATAGACACAATGTTACAAATTGTTGAGGTTTGAGATTGTAATCAAAAGTTATTTGATCTGTGTTAATAATAGTAGGATTTCATTCTAACTTTCATTTGTCTTCATAATAACAATCACAATCTAATTTCCAATTTTTAACCTCAGGAAAATATCTTCCTTAATCCAGTCAATCAAACAGTTCCTTAAACTCCTCTGTTATCAGCAGGTTAGGAAGTTAGAGTTGTGGATCCAGTCTGAGAGTCTGCTTTAGACATAGGTTGATGAAATTTTACAAACTGTTACTAGTATCCATAAGAAAGCAAAGTTCTCTGCATCTTCCCAATGGAGCACAAGCATTTGAGGTTTAAGTGTTCTTAATGTGCAGATTAAGTTAACACTTTTTTTTTCTGTAGGGTCCGGGGCAGAGGCTGGTCAACCTTTGAATTTATTACTTTTAAGTTTGATGTTTGTATGCATGTTACTACCTATAGTGTGACTTTAATAGTCTTTGGATAAAGTAGAATACTGGTCTCATATTACATTTTGAGAAAACAGAAGAAAATTCCTAGATATGTTTTGTTACCAACACAGAAGAATTTTGATTAAGTTGCTTATGAAAATCCCGGCTTTCAAGTGTCTGTTAGGTCTAGGAAGGAAGAACTGGAGAGATATCAGAACTCAAGCACAAGGGGCTGGAGTGATAGTACAGTGGGTAAGGCATTTTCCTTGCACACAGCCGAACCTGGGTTCAATTCCCAGCATCCCATATGGTCCCCTGAACATCGCCAGGAGTAATTCCTTAGTGCAGACCAGAAGTAACCCCTGAGCATCGCTGGGTGTGACCCAGAAAGCAAAAAAAAAAAAAAACCCAAAAACTCAAGCACAAGCTTTAGGAAGGAGATTTTTTAAAAAAATTATTGTATTGAATCACCGTGAGATATAGTTATAAGCTTTTATGTTTGAATTACAATCACACAATGATCAAACACCCATCGCTCTACCAGTACACATTCCCCACCACCAATATCCCCAGTATACCCCTCTTCCCCTCCCCCCCCGCCTCCATGGCAGACATTATTCCCCATTCTATCTCTACTTTTGGTCATTATGGTTTGCAATGCAGATAATGAGGAAGGAGATTATATTCTGAAGTAAACTTAATAATCTTACCCTCTCTTCCAAACACATAAATACACACACATACACACACTTTAGACAAACCCAGCTGTCACTCTGAGGATAATATTTACATAAACTGAATTCTCATCATTGTCAAGATGTTTGTGGTTCTAACTAGTCCTTAATAATCTATTGACCCTAAGCATGGACTTTTTATTACTGGATCTTTTCATATTGTTACATTAAAAGAATAATATTGGTTCTCTCTCTGGGTTTGCTTCTGCCACAGAAACAGAATTGTCTTTCTAATTAGTGGCAAAATGATATTTTGTTGTTATTGTTTTTATTGTCATTGCTGATTTACTTTATTCTTTTTGGTGGTTATCTATATATATATATTTAGGATATTTTATTTTATATTTTATTTCTTGGGCCACACCTAGTGGTACTGAGGGCTTACTCCTGACTTTATGCTTAGGGATCACTCCTGAAAGTGCCTGTGGTACCATATGCAGTAACAGGGACCAAAGAATGGTCAGGTACAGGTTAGGTAAGTTCAGTAACCCCTGTACTATTTCTCTGGTCCTGATGGACAGATATCTTAGTAAAAATTTATCTCTGATATTTGAAATTTTCCTTATTCTTAGGAAAATTTGAAATATATGAAATAATTTGTCATTTTCCAGAAGATTAGTAATGAAATAAATGTTAGTGATAAAATGGATTTAGGTAAATCTTTTACCTCAATTTTGGTTCCTATGACCAATAGACTCATTAGTCTTTTGGCTGAAATCATATATATATACATACATACACACAAACATATATATACACATATATACATATATATATATAAATTTAGGAAAAACATGGCCATCCATCAGGAGTTCAAAACAAAAAAAATATACCTAGACTTGCATGTAAATGGTTCCCACTTACTGCACCATACCACAGAGCAAAAATGTCTGAAATTCTTCAGGTCAGTTAAGTGGCTTAGTTGGGTACCTTTGTTGGGTCATTATACCAATACAGTATCTATGCTTAGTAAGAAACTAAGGAGGAAAAATGTACTAAGTGCTGTTGTGAAAAGTCTAGGACTTTTTTCAAATTCAGGAGTTTGGAACCTGCAGAGAAAGAGAACTAGAACTGGGAAGATATTCCTGATGGAGTAGCAGAAAGAACTTGTAAGAAAATGGGCTGTTTTTTTCCCTTTTTGCTATAATGCTTGATGCAGGTCCACTTTGGGTTGTATTGTGCTGTGAGTTGTACTTGTAATGCTGAGGATGGGTCCATCAAGTGCCAGAATCACACGTAATGTAAGCAGTAACTGGGGGTCTAATTCATGGGCTTATACATACACAGATTCTGTGTTCCACTGAGTCACATCCCTGGGCCAATAAAGGATTTTTCTTGGCTTTTTTTTTTTTTGGTTCTGGTTATAGGCCACTTCAGACTGTGATCAGGGCTTATTCTTACTTTTGTGCTCAGAAGTTACTACTGCCAGGACTCAGGTGATCCTATGGAATGCTGGAGATTGAACCTCAATTGGCTATGTGCAAGTCAAAAACCCTACCCACTATAGTATCTCTCTGGCCCCTGTTTGTTTTATGTTTTTTCCTAAAAACATTTTTCGCCATT